GGGCTTACATGGCAGTGTACAGTTATTTGGAAAGTCAACAGATTCGTTTAATAATGACTGGGTGGTCTTGTTGGGATGTCCATCAGGGGAGGCATATAAGGGTAGTTTACATGGGGATAAAAAAAAGGGTGTCTCATAGTATTTAGGTGACTTTGAAAATGATATGGAGTTTGTCCGTAAAACGGGGGTGGAAAAAATTGTTGTTGGTATGGTTGAAAGGACTGTTGTGGTTTAGCGTGGGAGAAATCACATTTCAAACCCTTCAGGCAATGACCCTTTCTGCGTAAGAAGGGACATGGAACGTGAGATTTAGGGTTTTTTGTGTGTCCGGGGGAACCTATCTTGGTATGGTGCGGGTATTTCGTTCCTACCCGCAATTTCTTCTGAAACATTATCGGTTCCAGCGTTATTTAGATTTGCCGCGCCAAATGTTGTTTTGATCAGATATCTCGATTATACTAATGTCGGGGGCGTTGGGATTAGTCGTTTCATTAATTTCTTTTCTTTGGGCGTGAGTTAAAATATGCATATCAGTGGCAGGTTTGCCATTTCGATTTTTAACTAACTTTCCCCCATTTTCAACTGATTTTTCACCTTTACTCTGGCCCATAAACTCAACTAATTGTTCAACAGTTTGAGACAAAGTTTGTATAATTTCTCTGTTGATTTCTTGACCCGATTTTAGTTCCTCAAAGTCGAAAACAACATCAGCACATGGACAAAACGACTGCCGCGGGGTATCTACATTCCTCTGGCATGACATGTCCGAGCTAACTACATTTTTAACACTTGAATGTAGACTATTCAAAATCTTTTTACATAAATGTTGATACACTTTACCCATTTCGTCGCCTTCAATCTGCAAGAGACCTTTGCCTTTTCTCCACGAGATCAAACTGTCATTAAACTTAAACACCTTTTTGTCGCCGCCGGGATGTTCCCAAGTGCCGTCTAGTTTTAGATCATCAGCGATTAACAACTTCAATGAATCAAAATCTCCAGTCCACGCAAAACTTATATGATCAATAAATGAAACCATTCTCGTCTCGTAAAATTTTTGTAGTTTTAAAAGCGAGCGAATCGGACGATGGATCAAATTTCACTCGTGTAGCGGAGCGCAAAATACACGTCTGCTCTGTTCAAACGCTCAGGCATCTCTTTTAGTAAAATTGAAGCCAAGAATATTCCAGCGGTTTCCCCCATTTGAATAGATGATGGCCATATTGGTTGTTCCCACTTGCTAATAAACACTTTAAAACAACAATAACTTTCATCATTTGAATAGTTTAAAAACGTATTTGGAATAGAGTTAACTTTAATGTTTAAGTTCCCTGTTTAAGAAATAGAAAACATACAAATCTTCTCATTTCATGGGAACGACATGAGACTGCAATCACAGCTTCAATTTTTAAATTGCAGAATAATTAGATGTACTATCTAGTGTATATAAGATATCTATGCTTGGAAACCCTCATCACAATTTTTTCTCCATTTTTTCCTGGCTATGCCATTGGTGTCCATTCTTAGTGCATTTATCATAGCTAAATCGTATTCTAGGAATCTGTTCGTGTATATCTAAGGGAGCTTTCATTGGCCAAATTCATATTAGGGACGGGAAACTCGTCTAATATATATCGGGGGGCAGACATATTTTCCGTCCGAACTTTACCATCTAACTTTACCTGTCCAAACAGACAATAAAGTTAGATGGGTATACCATCCAGACGAAAAACTTGCCTTCCTTCTAAAATTTTCCGTCCCAAAATTCATATTCAGACAGGTTTTCCCAGACGTAGTTTCCCGTCCCTACTCCCTAATATGAATTTCAATTGCATGACTATTATCATGTTGAGACTGGTCAGATTGATCATGAAACACAAAACATTTGCAATTAGGATCATTCAAATCAAATACACAGACAAAAATTTCGTCTCATCGGTCGGGTAATTGAGCGGAAATCGCCCTATATGTAGGATTTGTTAATTAGTATTTCAACAGTGTATAGGAACTTTTACCGATGTTTCAGATTTTAATATTGTATAGAATAACTAGTATATTTTATTAACTATTGTTATTAAAATACATTTGTCAAGTGAAAGTTGGCATGTAGAATGTTTAGATCTGCTCACTGCATTGATATTTGATTGATTAAAATAAGCAACCATTTGCTCTCTAGAATCTCGAGGAGAGACACCAATTTAATTTCCATTATTGGAAATTGGGCTGCCACGTACACAAGAATATATTTAAAACGTTATAGATGGTTTTTAAAGATATATTTTACAAGTTCATCGTAACATACATATTTGTGGTCCTAACATCAAAATTTTGTTTGTAATTTTCTAAAAGGCAAGTAAAAGCCGTGCCAATCTGGGTAAGGCAAAAAATGGGGAATGCTATAAATTGTTGTTCTCCGAAGCAAACTCCCAATGTTATCATCTTGTAAACTGTTAAAAATAACAAGACACAAAATTGGTTTGACTTCCGACAATAAAGTCGAAATATCACCAGAATTTTGTATCTTGTTATAATGTTATTTTAATAACTGTTGTCAGTTTTAGGTGTACACAACACATTTGCTATCTAAGACCTAGCTTTCACAACTGAAACAAAAATACTCCCATTGTATTGTGTGGTGCTCTTTATTTGTTACATTTATTTATGATATTCATAGAAGCATGTGCATCTGTGAAATTGGGGTTGATTTTGTCATAGGGGTGTAGAAACACTGTATTTCGACGGTACATGTAGTGTAAAAGACAAACTTCGACATCGATTTACTGTCTGAAACTTTGCACGTCAGTTTCACTTGCCAATTGAAGTATCATACTGGAATTTCAGGTCAGTCGAACAAATAGAAGCATGCACGTGTGTGAAATTGGGGTCGATTTTGTCATAGGGGTGTAGAAACACTGTATTTTGACTGTGCATGTAGTATAAAAGACAAACTTCGACATCGATTTACTGTCTGAAACTTTGCACGTCAGTTTAACTTGCCAATTGAAGTATACTGAAATTTCAGGTCAGTCGAACAAATAGAAGTATGCGATGTGTGAAATTGGGGTTGATTTCATCATAGGGGTGTAGAAACACTGTATTTTGACTGTGCATGTAGTGTAAAAGACAAACTTCGACATCGATTTACTGTCTGAAACTTTACACGTCAGTTTAACTTGCCAGTTGAAGTATCATACTGGAATTTCATAACTTACATAATTTCTATTTAACGCAGATTGTTTAGTCAGGACGTTTTACAATACAATAATCAACACTCAAAACAATTCATCAAAACGTTGTTCAGCATTTCCGTTATGAAATTCGTATAATCGTATGACATATCAAGCACCCTACGTATTTTTGGATACGACAACGAAACACGAAGGCTTCCAGTCCCCCGACATCATGTCGTATTAGCTGCCCATTGGCAGGGGTATCATGGGGTGCCACCCACTCACTGTCGCTGGATTTGGTGTAACTTGTGCTAAACTTAATCTTCATTATCGTCTTCAACAACTTCCTCGTTTTCTTCACTTGTCGCAATCTCTTCATCATCCTCGTGATCTTCATCTTCGCTATCAACATACTCATCGACATCCAACATCCCGTCAATTGTTCTTTTAAAAAAAGCAATCGCCTCTCTTATCATTTTCTTGCAGAAAAACATCCCAGAAAAACATCCTGCTTCACCAGCCATGGCAAGTCAACTGCAATGCAATGCTCTATATTTTCCCTATACAGGGTGTATCAAAAAAAGCGCAATCCTCGACTGAAATGTAAATTGCTAAACAAATAATAGACGAAAACGTTAAAGTTTACATTCATTTTAAAGCGTAGCCATTCAGCTTTCTAACAATGGGTTGTTTCTAAAATTTGACTCATTGGTTCGCGGGTAATAGTACTTTACGTTATTGCGATTGGAGATTAAAAAAATTGAGATGGAATAACAAATCGTTCTCATGAAAATAACTGATGATAACTGAATAACATGAAAATAAGTTGAAAGATTCGTACTTTTAACTTATCAACAATAAATTTCCGAAATATATACTGTAAGGTATATTATTTTGCATTTTGTGAGCTTTGATTTAATGTAAAATTTAACTTGAAATGCTTCATAAAATGTTTTGAAATGTTCATTCAACTATAGTTCATTTGCCAATAAACTAATAATAAAACATAATAAGTTACAAATAAAACAAATTGTTAGGTACAGGGTCCCCACCTTTTAGTGAAGATGAAATTCAAGGACTTTTCCAGGACTTTCAAGGACCTTTTTCAGTATATTCAAGGACCAAGGAACAAATATCACATTACGTGACTGACTGACCGTCGAATACCCGCTTTGCAACACAACTTTTGGACAATTGTTATACATAATTTTAATTGAAATTGGAGAAAATAAACATTTGGGCAATAATCCTTGGGCTGGTAATAATTCTTCAATTATTTCCAGCCTACTGAAAAAAAATTCAGGACTTTCAAGGACCTTATCAGTTTCCAAGGACTTTCCAGGCCTGGATTTTTTTTTAACAAATTCAAGGACTTTCCAGGATTTTCATAGCCTGCAAACAGGCTCTCTTTGAACTGAGAGAGAGCCTGCAGGCCTAGCTAATAAAAACGTGTCTGTGCTTTGCTTAGAACGATGCAGGGTTCCCATTGTTTGAAATTGAATTAACTACATTATACTGTGATAAAAGGTCATTAAATTTACACAACAATAGATTCAAATCGAAAAATATCGTTCTGTAGCGACGAGTTGTATAGAAAACAAATCATTGTTTAAAGTTAAGATGGGCAGTCAAAAGCTCTTAACAATATTCTAGACGGAAACGATGTTTTTGCTGTATAAGAGAGTTTGGCAAATACAACGGCAACATTCTTACTGTATATCAACAATAGCATTTTTAATACTCTAAGACAAAGGCGACTATAATTTGCATTCTTGAGCATTCTAGTGCACCGTAGTTGTTCAAACTCAAGTCGTTGCGGTGTTTATGTGAATTCACTTACTACTGCTACTTAGGGAATTTCAGGGTTGTTTGAAAGAAAGACAAGTGCTTTTAATGTTATAAACAATCATGCGTTGAAATTGAGATATGCGTTTTGTTTACATATATTCGCAGGCTATTACATAAGGCGTGTCTGCATTAATTTGTCACATTGTATTTTACATTTGATTGACAACACTATAAATAGTGACGGGCACAGACGTATTTTTATTGACTAAACCGGCAGGCTCTAATTCAATTCAAAGAGCCTGTTCGCAGGCTAGGATTTTCTAGGACCGTGGGGACCCTGTAGGTAATTTCATTTCAGTCTTCAAATCAATTTGTTCTCCTTTACATTTTAAAGGAGCTGTGTCACCACGTGCGCATCCTTTCTGCACATAACAAAAACACTTTAGAAATTGTCGGAAGTCGATCGGG